GGAGGAAGCGGAAGAGGAGGAGGAGGAGGAGGAGGATGAGGAGGAGGAAGAGGATTGATGGGAGCACGAGGACGTTGGGAGGAGGAGGAGGAGGAGGAGGAGGTGGTGGAGGAGGAGGAGGAGGAGGAGGAGGAGGATAGGATAAGGAGGTCGAGAAGGATGATTAGTGACTCTTCCTGTGCGCGCGTCTCGACGAGGTGGTGTTAATGATTCAAACTCGAGCCAAGGATCTTTGGAATCTTTTCCTGTGCCTTTGCCTGTCTTTTTCCTTTGCCCTTCCATGACGGGGACCCACCAGTCGAACCTCCGCATCCCAAAGGGGCTTTGACCACATCCCACAACCGTGTGGAGGAGGCACGAAAGGGGAACCAGCCACAGAAGGAAGAGACGAACCATAATGTTTGTACCGCGAAGCTCCTGGGATATTCTTCCTGCACCCACACACAGCAGCGAATCGGAGTCCTCCGATTGGTGTACCACGTCCGGGATTCCCTCTCCGTGTGCCAAGGCGCAACACTCCTGTCCCAAGAGCTCTAAGGACCACTCTGCTTTGCCATCCGCTCTCGGGCGAAAGTGTAAGAAGTAGACAACAAACCGCCGCAGTGAGGGAAACCTCAATACGGCACACGGAATGTGAATGGTTGGGGCCGCAAATCAGATGTGCCAGAGCTCAAAGTCCCCTGAGCCATACCGCTGCGGACTTGAGCCAAAATTGCAACCGAGCATGTGTTCTATCTCTGTCTCTCTCTCTTCCCCCCCTCCCTTCCGTTCTCCCCCCAGGCGAGCGAGGCTGGCGTCGCCGGCGCGGCCATGCAGAGCGCCAAGTCGCACCTGCGGGCGCTCGAGTTCCTCGGCAGGACTCCTCCCTAGGGCGCTGCTCTGCCCTTCATCCCCATCGTCAACTCTGGTCGCCAGTGGGTGCGGGTTCCTCGGCACGTCTCCTCCCCAGGGCGCTGCCCCGCCCCTCCCCCTCATCGCGAACTCCGGTCGTCAGTGGCCACCACTGGGCTCGGAAGAGGAGGATGAGGAGGGAGGAGGAGGAGGGAGAAGGAGGAGGAGGAGGAGGAAGAGGAGGAGGAGGAGGCGGAGGCGGATGCGGAAGAGGAGGAGGACCAGTGTAAACCCAAGAACCATCAACGGTGTTGGAAAACACCCTCCCTCCAAGCTCCCTCTTCATAGGCCTCCAGCGGTCCATTTCCATTGAGGGATCTGCCTCGTTGGAAAACAACCGTTTGAAGACCCAAAAGCATGCCAAAACATTGTTCTCGGGATTTCTTGGGATTCCAACGCCACGGATCAACCTGACTGTTGCGTCTTGACGATCCCGGATCGTGCCAGAACGCCATTCTTGGGATTTCAACACCGTCAATCAACGTAACTGTTGCACCGCAAAGCTCCAGAATCCGTCCAAAAGAACATTCCTGGTACGTTGATCGTGGGAAGCCGTAGAAATCTTGCAAATTTTATGAACGAAAGTGCGCGGCGCCAAGGCGAGAGCCACATTTTGAAAAGGAACCGCCCTCAATCCGTAAATATCTGGCACATGTTTAGAACGAACGTGCCAGACGCTAAGGCGAGCCATATTTTGAAAACGGGTGATCCTCAATCCGTGAAGCTCTTGCACATGTTTAGAAATTCTATGCTCGGCGCTAAGACGAGAGCCACATTCTGAAAACGGGTCATCCTCAAGCCGTGAAGCTCTTGATTTTCTAAGAACGAATGTGCGCAGCGCAAAGGCGAGAGCCACATTGTGACAACGACCCGCCCTCCATCTGTGAAACTGTTGCCATTTTTCAGCTTCAGTCTCATACATGGTGAGGAAGTCTCAGGAGGAGGAGGAGGAAGAGGAGGAGGAGGAGGAGGAGGCAGGAGGAGGAGAAGGAGCAGGAGGAGCAGAGGACCAGGAGGCAGGAGGAGGAGGAGGGACGGAGAAGAAAAGGGACGAGGCAGGAGGCAGGAGGCTAGAGGCAGGAGGATGCAGGAGGGGGAACAGGGGGCATGGGGAGTGGGAGGAGCAGAAGAAGGAGAAGGATAAATAGGAGCAGAGGGAGGCACGAGTACGAGGAGGACGAGCAAGAACGGCAGGACGAGCGGGAGGAGGAGGAGGCGGAAGAGGAAGAGGAGGAGGAGGAGGATGAGTAGGAAGAGGATGAGGAAGAGGAGTAGGATGATGATGATGATGCTGATGATGATGATGATGATGATGATGATGATGATGATGATGATGATGATGATGCTGATGCTGCTGCTGATGATGATGATGATGCTGATGATGATGATGATGATGATGATGATGATGGTGATGATGATGCTGATGATGACGATCATGAAGATGATGATGTTGATGATGCTGATGCTGATGCTGATGCTGATGCTGATGCTGATGATGCTGCTGCTGATGATGATGCTGATGATGATGAGGAGGAGGAGGATAATGATGAGGAGGAGGGGGAAGAGGAGGAGGACTACGGACGACGTTGCTTCCAGCCATCAGGAAGCAGGGATCATGCATCAGGAGGAAAAGGAGCAGGAAGAGGAGGAGGAGGAGGAGGAGGAGGAGGAGGAGGAGGAGGAGGAGGAGGAGGAGGAGGAGGAGGAGGGGGGGGGGACGGAGAAGAACATGGAAGACACATGAGGCCGGAGACAAGAGGCAAACTGATGCAGGAGGGGGGGCAGGAGGCAGTATGAGTGAGAGAAGCAGAATGAGGAGGAGGAGGATAGGTATGATCAGGGGGAGGCACGAGGACGGGGTCGAGCAGGTCTGGCAGGACGAGCGGGCTGAGAAGTTGGAGGAGGGGGAGGAGGAGGAGCAGGAGGAGGAGGACGAGGGGGACAAGTAGTAGGAGGCCGATGATGTTGAGGAGGAGGATGAAGCGGATGATGATGATGAAGAAGAAGAAGAAGAAGTGGAGGAGGAGGAGGAGGAACATACCTTGTACGAGAAGGAGAAGGAGGCACGAGGATAAGGAGCAGGAGGAGGATGGGGGCACGAGCGACGTTCTTTCCAGCCAACATAAAACAGGAGCCAGGATTAATGATTCAGGAGGAGGAGGAGGGCGAGGATGATGATGAGGAGGAGGAGGAGGGGCAGGCAGGCAGGCAGGCAGGCAGGCAGGCAAGCAGGCAGGCAGGCAGGCAGGCAGGCAGGCAGGCGGAGGAAACGGATGAGGAGGGGCAGGAGGAGGAGGCTGGAATCGGCAGGATTAGAAGGATGAGGAGGAGAAGTGGGAAGAAGGGGAGGAGAAGGAGGCGGAGAATGAGGAGGATAATAGGGGGGGACAAGGTGGCACGATTATGACCAGTATGCCGTTGCTGCTGATGCCGTTGATGATGATGATGCTGATGGTGATGATGCTGATGATGCTGCTGATGCTGATGAGGACGATGATGCTGATGCTGATGACGATGACGATGATGCTGATGCTGCTGTTGTTGTTGATGCTGCTGCTGACGATGCTGATGATGCTGCTGATGCTGATGATGATGATGATGATGATGACGATGCTGAGGATGAGGATGACGCTGTTGATGACGATTGTGCTAATCATGGTGATGCTGATGCTGCTGATGCCGATGGTGGTGACGATGACGATGCTGATGATGATGACGATGCTGCTGCTGATGATGATGTTGATGATGATGCTGATGATGATGAGGATGATGCTGATGCTGCAGCTGATGATGATGATGCTGGTGATGGTCATGGTGATGATGCTGCTGATGATGATGAGGCTGCTGCTGATGCTGATTATGATGAGGATGATGCTGCTGCTGATGATGATGCTGGTGGTGATGATGATGCAGCTGATGATGCTGCTGATGATGCTACTTATGATGCTGATGATGCTGATGCTGATGCTGATGCTGATGCTGATGATGACGACGTTGACGATGATGATGATGATGATGATGACGACGATGATGATGATGATGATGATGATGATGATGATGATGATGATGATGATGGTCATGATGATGATGATGATGATTCTGTTGGTAATGATGAGGTTGGCTCTGATAATGATGCTGCATATGCTGATACTGATGATGCTGCTGCTGTTGATGATGATACTGCTGACGATGATGATGATGATGCGGTTGATGCTGATTATGATGATGATGGTGACGATGCTGAGGATGATGGCTGATGATGATATCGATGATGCTGATGATACTGATGATGCTGGCACTGACGATGCTGATGCTGATGCGGCTGATGATGATGATGATGACGATGATGATGTTGCTACTGGTGGTTATGATGCTATTGCTGATGCTTGTGATGATGCTGCTGCTGATGATGAGGATGATGATGATGATGCCGCTGCTGCTGACGACAACGATCTTGAGGATGCTGATGATGATGCTGCTGCTGATGATGATGATGCTGCTGCTGCTGATGATGCTGTTGATGATGGTGATGATAATTATGCTTATGGTGATGAAGATGATGATGATGATGTCGATGCTGATGATGATGATGATGATGGTGATGATGCTGATGATAATGATGCTGGTGATGGTGATGATGATGCTGATGATGATGATGCTGATGATGATGATAATTCTGCTGCTGCTGCTGATGATGATGGTGATGGTGATGGTGATGGTGATGATGATGATGCTGATGCTGATGCTGAGAGATGATTTAGAATGCTGATATGATGATGCTGATGATGATGATTTGACGATAGATGGATGATGCTGATGATGATGATGGATGATGATGATGCTGCTGCGATGATGATGATGCTGATGATGATGCTGATGATGATGCTGATGATGATGTTGATGATTATGATGCTGATCATGATGATGAGATGATGATGCTGATGAATGATGATGACTGATGATGGATGAGATGATGATGAGATGATGATGATGATGATTGATGATGATGATGATGATGATGATGATGATGATGATGATGATGATGATTATGATGATGATTATGATGATGATGATGATGATTATGATGATGATGCTGATGATTGATGATGATGATGATCGTGAGAGGAGGAGAGGAGGAGGAGGAGGAGGAGGAGGAGGAGGAGGAGGAGGAGGAGAAAAACAGGGAAGAGGCAGGAGGCACGAGGCATGAGGATGCAGGATGAGGGACAGGAGACAGTAGGAGTGGGAAGAGCTGGAGGAGGAGACGGATATAGATATATAGGAGCAGAGGGAGGCACGACGACGATGACGAGCAGGATGGGCAGGACGAGCGGGAGGAGCAGGAGGATGAGGAGGAGGAGGAGGAGGAGGAGGAGGAGGAGGAGGAGGAGGAGGAGGAGGAGGAGGAGGAGGAGGGGAGGAGGAGGAGGAGGAGGAGAGGAGGAGGAGGGCTACGAACGACCTTCTTTCCAGCCATCAGGCATCATGAATCATTCGGAGGAGGAGCAGGAGGAGGAGCAGGATGATGAGGAGGAGGAGGAGGAGGAGGAGGAGGGCTACGAACGACGTTCTTTCCAGCCGTCAGGAATCATGAATCATTCGGAGGAGGAGTCGGAGCAGGAGGAGGAGGAGAAGGAGGAGGAGGATAACGAGGAGAGGGGTGGGGGAGAAGAACAGGGTGACAGGAGGCAGGAGACAATGTGCAGGAGGATGCTGCTGCTGCTGCAGGAGGAGGAGGAGGCAGTAGGATTCGGAGGAGCAGAGGGAGGAGAAGGATAGGTAGGAGCAGAGGGAGATACAAAGACGAGGACGAGTAGGACTGGCAGGACGAGCGGATGAGGAGGAGGAGGAGGAGGAGGACGAGAAGGAGGAGGAGGAGGGCCACGAACGACGTTCTTTCCAGCCATAGGAATCAGGAGTTATTCATCAGGAGGAGGAGGAGGAGGAGGAGGAGGAGTAGGAGGAG